GCAATTACGTTATTAAGTACACATTTGATAGAGGCACTCTGTTCAAACCACGTGTCTAATAAGCTTGTTCGGCTACAAGATAGTTTCAAAACAGCTTCTGATAGCACATAGTGGTTACAGTTCCGCCCAAAAATCCAATGATGCCGCATAAGACAGTACTAGTTTTCGGAATGTAAACCCATTTTGTCGGTAATGTTGAAATTTTCAGACAGCGAAAGAAACGTAGTCAGAAACTAGGTAGGACAAATGAATGCCCTGAAGAAAGCCAAAAGTGCCGGCTTTACTCGTTTCGTATCTAAATAAGACGCAGAGCGTAAAAAAGGTTTATAATAAAGGAAATGTTCTTTGTAGCAAATGAGTTCATTCAGTTGTTTATTATCGGCGTCACTTACAAGTTACTCGCGACTGAATTATACAAACGACGCGACAGCATCGTGTTACGGGATTCAAAATGTTATCTGTTTGAGAATGATTCAACGTATTCTGACGTTACCGTAAGTTTATTGTTTCTTTTTTAAAAAGAAAAAGAGTGCCCAGGCAAAACATTGCTAACGGCACACAGAAAAGATGTCATCTCAAATTCGATTCCAAGTAGGAAGTATCACAGTAGCGGTTGTATGTACGTACCAAGTATAGGGACAAGATGGTGACAACGGCGTGCAGTTTCAATGAGCTAATTTATTGTCTTAACGCACGGTCGGCTGTAACTTAACTTTTGAACCTGTTAATTACACTAATTTGTAGCAAAAGAAGAATATTAGTTTAATTTGCCGATCAAGTAATTGTGCCGCAAGTCACAAAAATATCTGCACATTAGAGTTGTGTGAAATGATAGATGACGATGAGCCCCTAAGAACTTTACATTGTTTTCGATAATTTTTCGTTCAACAGCATTTCGTGTTATCTCGAAACCATTGCTATATATGCCATATATTAATTACGACCTCTTTCTTTGTTATAGTTGTCACGCATGTCAACTTTTTTTTTTTTTTTGCCAAAGTGTTCCTTGTGAACTGTTAAAAATTTACAATTATATACGTTATATATATATAATGTATGTATAATGTATGTATAATAGCGTAATCCACCAATAGAAGCTCTAATAACGCAGGGAACACGTATAGAAAGAACACGTAAAGAAATGTATAGTGTTTCCATAGACGTGTTACAATGATCTACACCCCGAGGTAAATTAACGTGACGGCTACTAACAATAGCTATACAGGTTCTCCTGCAATAAGCATTGTCAGCTTTTTTCAGTTATTTGTTTCTCCCAAAATTGATAACTATATCAACCCTAATATTCTAACAGAGACATTGGTAACAACTTTTGTGATTTATTATTCGTTCATTTGTAACTTACAGTTGCGCTCAACTCCTTTTTTTTTTATACCAATGCATATTCAAAGCCCTCAAAGGACATGTCTCACATGACTGATAGCTTAGAGAGCCTGAATGTCATTGAGGACCTCTTCTCGCTGTACGTACAGCGTTGCATTGAGTATAACGCTGATCGGCTGTTTGGCCACAATTTGCACAACACTCCTATCAGCTTGTTCGTAACGTTTTCGCCTTTTTAAATGAAGCATGGCAGTCTGACATAATCCTGGTTAGATCGCATAAACAGAAATATTTAAAAGGTGATGCTTCTAGCTCAAGACTGATCTATTTCCTTTTCCCAGGGACAATAAGTTGTGCCGTGCGGTCACTAACTGGTGACTGAGCATTTTCTATAGCAAAGAATTCAATTCCGTGCTGCTTGCAAGTCTCTATAAGTTAGTTATTAAGTCATTTGTGTTAATTCAAAGATAGGTGTGTATTCAAAGATAGGTGTGTTACCTATATGAAACACTGCATCCAACTAGTTCCTTCCATCAATTATTATCGATTCTCGAGAAATCCAGAGGATTACAAGCGGCCCGTTGACCCATCTGAGAAAACGGTAACACATTTTTACAGATATCATTCGTCGTCTCACGTTTAATCGAACGCAGAATTGTTTCTGTCGCAAACGCCGCAAATATCGTGACGGGAGCCAGTATGTCAATATTTATCTGAGTATTCAACCCGAATATCCGATAAGTATTTTCCTTATTTCTGCACGAGTTCAAATTAGATTTTCGAGGTAGCGATTGTCAATGAAGCCGTATGCTTCGTTCTTCCTAGTAATACATTTTTCATTATTAATTAGTAACGAATAGATCCATTGAATTTCGACTCTCGCTTCTAGCCTAGCCCTTGAATCGGTTACGCTGTCACTTTGTTTGAAGTATACGCCTTCTTTGCCTACAGAGCATCGTCCGAGCTTGCACTTTTCGGCACTACAAAAGGCATCTGGTAGAGCCGAAGTGACTGTTCTGACAAAAACGACAAATATCCGAGTTCGAACTATCGCCTTGTCGATCAGGACCTAACTAAGGTCATCTGGAAAATTTGAGAGTTAGACGCAACAGCGACCCGGCAGAACTCTTTTTCTTTAGTTGATCTACATTCGCTCTCTGCGAAGAGAAGCCATGAAACAAACTAGAAATCCACGATGCAAGAGCGAGTACCTGTTCTAAACAAAAGAAGAAAAAAAATAATTTTCTTTACGGCCGGACTGGCTGGCCGGCGAAGCGGAAGCTTTATTTTCATTTTAGCTAAGATCGGAGACATTTTCGAACGAGCTTGACCGCAGCCAGCTGTGGTAATCTAGAAAGGTGAAATACCGGAAGAGCAAAGAGAAATTTCCGGCTCAGCTCTAGTCGATTCGTACGGCAGAAAGTTGATTCTGACGCTCTCTACCGTTGACTAATAGTCACTTCTAAAGGTCGCTCCGCTTAGTGGAGTAGTCAATTATAGCGAGGGTTATCGATAGGCATTGGTGTCTACGGGCTTTCTCGGGTCGTGTTCCCTTTGGGATCAGCATGCTCTATGAGACAGCAAACGATGATGATAAGGCTTCTTCGCACAGGCCCAATGCCAGAATTGAACTCTGTCGGTGTTACAGCGGCCAAAACTGTGCCAGTGGTAGGCCGCAAAGCCTCATAATCGAAAATCCCTTATCTTTGTTTATGCTAACGTCTCACGCCGCTCTTCGGAACGAAAAAGCATTTTTCGAAGATACGACGTGAACGCGACGCGTGCGTGCTCAGAGCGGTATTAATGATTAAAAGTGCACACATTTATGGATATGAGGGACGCTTTCTGCCATTCTGTAGGCGCAGGTGCTGCTCATTGGTTGTAATTCTAAGACATGGAACACTTTACGATATTACGCGAGCACCTTATATATATGTGAGTGTGGATATGTATGAACCTGTTCATGTTAATTAAATCGCCTTATTTTCTATTTAGTAGGTCGACTACTGAAGGAAACAGATAATTTCAAAATAGACAACTCAAGTTGCATCACAATATTTCAACAATCACAATTATCTTAAGCAACTGACTTAAAAATCAACAACTTGCAAAAAAAAACACTGTACAAGTGTACAGATTGTATTTATTCTAACTATAACAATGCATTTTTTATAATTGTTTCCTATATCTGTAAACTGAAGTCAACCATTGAAATAGATTATTTGGAAACATTTATGATTACGGCTATAATGCGGCACTGGTAAGATAGACAAATCTTATCACCTCCACCTGCAAAAGGTTGGTCAGTGGTAGCATGTACCTTTGGTTTCCTGTCTCCGTCAATTTACGTAGGTCTAGCAGACATCGGTGCTCGCGATTGCATGGTGGACCTTGTCGAAAAAGTAGTGCCTATTACTTAAATAGCTACAGCAGGAGCCCCTCGTTCGTTTCCTTCTAGCACAGGGCCATCCCCAGGAGCCCCACTCGGCTGTTCCACTGTCCACCTCACATCTTCAAGCGATGGTAGTAGAGTCGCCTCCGACTGTTGCGTTTAGTGATGAAATTTTGACAGCGACTTAAAACGTCGTCTGCCAACCGTTGCTACTTCCTAGTTCATCGCAGACCCACCCCACTTCTGTATGTCATGTCTATGAGGCTAGACTGCTGTTTCGTGTACTAGAGGGCTTAGACAACAGTCGCGCCCAGTCTGAGGGGCTTGTCCACAACGGCCTTTTTGTGTCGCTGTCTAGGATAGTTGTGTACAGTATAGCGGCGAGTCCCTCGGGGGTTGCTTGTCTTCACGGCACATAGTCCAACTGTGATTGTGGCTAAGGAAATGATGAAAATAGAATAATGGTGACGGCTGCAGAGAGTCTCAAGAGACAGATACTCCGTTTTATATATGGATTTGTGATCCGGAGCGATGAGCTGTGATGGCCAAGTGCTGCTAGATTTTTTCCACCTATGTATGAGAAACGGCTAGCAAGTCAAGCTGTGAGACGACTGCTCTGATCTGTAGCCGAAATATTAACGGTAATAATGATCATGATTAATAATTATGGTTAGCGTTAACGACCTCGCGAGTAAAATACAGGCCGGAGAAACGATGTGCGTAAAAATCTTAATGAGATATTTTAGTAGGCAAATTAACATAAATAAGGTCGTCATTAATTTTTTCCTAAAGTAATCTTGCATTGCCCGTCCGTGCTGGATGGGAATAAGTAATGGAAAGAGGTACGTCGCTGACCTTTCGTCACTGTCAAGGTTGACGAACGAAGACAACAAGAACAGAATAGTTTACCGGCCGGTGCTGATAACCTACTGCCACAAGTGCTTTGCAAGGCCGAAGCTCATTATCAGCTATTTTCGAACTTGCTCAATGGCTAGCTCTCTGATCCAATCATTATTGCTACCTACATCAAAGTCTTGGTCCACTGCGTGCGCTAGCCGACGTAGGGGCAATCATTCGTGCGTTGTTTTCATTTGATGTTTATTCGTGTTACAGAAATCACGTTCAGACTCGTAGTGAGTTATTATCTTGGTTTTCGTCAGGTGACTTAAATTGTTGGCGATTATCAAAGGCCAGTAGAAGCAAAGTAGCAACTGGCGAAAGCAAAAAGCGAAATTATTTTTTCTGTTTGTGATATTTTTGCTTTCAGACGGAAACCTTGATCTTTTTATCAGTCCTGTTTACTCTGATAGTAGTGGGAAACTGCGCAGTACTCGCTACTTTGCTCGCTTCAAAAAATCGGAAATCCCGGATGAACTTTTTTATCATGCATCTCGCCATCGCAGGTAAGCTATGCTGATGATGACCATGATCCTCATTATTCCCATTATTATTCATTGTACACGTCTGTATTTTAGACCGAAGTAATGCAAAATGCTAGTAGTGCGACACTGACAGTACATAGGTTAAAGTTTTTAAAAATTATATTATTATTATTATTATACTATATATATATTATAATTGAGCTTAGCATCCTTGTATTTTGCTTCCGAAAAAATCGGCGATTTTAACACTATTATGCTTCTATGATATATATCTATTATTCTAATGTACAAATGTAACGTTATTAGTACGTTCGAGCTTTCAGATGTCAGTATTCGGAACCCGTTTTCACTCGTAGTCGTGTAACTACCTCTATAAGGAATTGTCACCCTAAAGGATATATCACTCCTTCAGATCACTACCCAGCAGAACCAATTGGTTATTTGCCGCTGTGAAATCCCCACACAATTACTTTTTTGTAGTGACATGGACTTTTCGGCTTACAAAGTAAAATACAGAGTGGACCACCTATGAACATCTAACTTTTGATCTATCTTCTTGATATAACCCGAAATACATGCTGTTGTCAGAATAGCTGTTCCGTTCATTAATCGTGATTTTGCTCGTTGAGATTTTAATCGTCCGACCGACTGGGTGGTCGTAACTTGATTTTAGATCGCACTCTGTCAAAACAGTAGGTACACATCTGCTTTTAATTAGCGTATTTGAAAAATAAATCAACTTTAACACAATAGATAAAGTGTAAGCTCTTGTAGAGGAACTTTTCGTGTTGAAGTCCAACCGCGTTCGAATGTCCTAGAACGGATCTAGTCCTTAGCAAGCCTCATCGCTAACTTCACTATGATGACTCAGCACAATTAAACACAAGCTACAACTAGACCATACAGACGTGTATTTGCTTATAGGAGCGGATACAGTTGAGGCATCCTAGGTTAATTTTCGTCTTTGTAGCGTTTCTTTGTGATAGCTAGATTCGAACAAATTATTTCTAAGATGCCCCCGTGTGCTAGAATGATGTATTTTTCTGTTCTATTTATTGAAGTCAGGGTCAAGTACATCAGGGTGTTTCTGTTTAAAAGTAATTATATGACAAAAGGGCTAAATAATAGCTTGAACTATAATAAGAATCACCGTGATTATTCGATTTTGTGATTAGTTTACGCAGGAAAATGCAGTCGTCCAGGATCAAGCCGCAACCGTCACTTTTATAGTTTCGGTGATCGCAAGGTCTCATAAAGCTAGGTTAAAGCAGAACATTTTCGAATATAATGAAAGAATGACAAGTGTCCTTTTTGTGATCTGTTTTTTTTTTGGTTTAGGGCATTTGGAACAGTTTTGCGTGATACCTGCTTCGATTCCAAAGTAATAATCCTCTTTGTTTGCAGATCTATTGGTCGGCCTTGTGAATGTGCTAACAGATATCCTATGGAAGATCACTGTGGAATGGCATGCGGGTAATGCCATGTGCAAAATCGTCAAATACGCCCAGGTAGAGACTGCCCAGAAATCCATTTTATTAGATAAAAATTAACAAGTAACGTTTTGAACCAAGTTGCCCTTAAAGTGCCTTAAACGCAGATATCTGTCCAACTGTTATACTGACAATTGTTGCACGCTAATGCATGTTAACAGACCCCATGCTATTTGCTTCAGCAAAAACCCGAGGTGAAAATGAAGGTCTTTAGTATCGTGCTAGAGTGAGCTGTATTACAACAAATAAGCACGTAAAATAGGCATTTCACAATGGTCTTGTCTACGACTTTACTTCTTGTTTTGAATAGTTTTTAATGTGAGAGCGTATTATTGGTAACATATTGGGTGAAGTCAACCTGGTAACTGTAACACTTGGAGCATTTTCAAAGTTAGGACCAGACGAGAGCCCTGAGGTTCGTTTGCTTCGCAGCAGCAGAGTTTAGGTGAGTGATTTAAGTTGTTCCACCTTGAAAAAACTATAACACAGCAGGCCACGCCCTCGATCGAAGCAAACTCTACCAAGGTCTGAAGACAATCAAGTGAGATAATTTCGATCCGGCCAAATCGTCTAGTAAAATCGTAAAGGCTAGCTACGATCTTTGAGACTGTTGTATGGTTTAGCTTTGGTAAACAATTTAAGGCTATACTAAACATGGAAATTGACTTCCGCAGCAGGTTTAGCACCGCTGTTTTAACTCGGTACAGGCCAAGTCTATCATATGAGTGGTGCACTAATTGAAACAACTTATCTAAATAACTATAGCAACTAACTATCCTTAACTCGTGATTTTGTGACCCTTTGTACGTAGCAGACGAGTCGCTTGGCGTTATTTTGATGACTATCGCATATAATTTCGTTGATAATAGTAAGGAATGAAGGCGATAAGAGGATTTTGTGAATCATGAGGCTTGGAGAAACAAACTTATGTTCCGTTCATCGAACTCAATACGTAGGGAACAGTCTGTTTGGAAGGCATGTCTAAAATTGCGAAGCCCCTATGACACGTACAAGAACTGCAACTGCCGGAATACTAGTTGCTAATGATCATTGTGGCCAGTTGCGAAGTTTCGGGGCGTATTTCGAAGCCTAAATATTCGACCGGGCTAAATAACATTTTTTCTAGAGGAACTTCTTGTGCGAGATGCTGTACACCTGCGAAAGTTACACCGAGAAGTTTGTATTGTTTGCTTTCGTGATTAGAGCACAAATAATACTTGACTAACAGTGTTGTTCGAATCTTTTGAGAACTGCTAATCAATTGTGAGTATATCAAATGCGGGCATAGCTAGTGAAGTTCTTTTGATGGCCAGTGAGTTAGGTTTACAGTGGTGTACTTTATCGAAAATTCTGCTCGACATGCGCGGCTAGCATGTCAGTCAACGCTGTCAATCTCAATTGTACCATAGAGCACTGTGGTTTCGGGATTCCCGTAGAAGAAGATTGGTAAACGTTTGAGTACTATCTACACACAGACAGGATTTCCACACCAGAGACAGAACAAGGCTAATCTGTAAAAATGACAATATAACACGAGTATATAACGTACGCGATATGCACGCCATAAGCTGTTAGTACTCATTGCTACTTTCGTGTTAGCCCTCTAGCCAGATATCTGCCTTGTGTAATAGCAATGGGTCAGGCATCTGAATCAATCTTGGAGTAATCTGAAAGAAGTTTAATGAAAACTTACAACGATAATTTTTCTATCGTTCGTTCTTTTAGAGTCTTGCGACGATATCAGGCAAAATATAGAGTGTAACGGGCATTGGTTTAAGGAGTTAGAGGAAAGTATGCCGCAGAAGCTGGCTTGATTACTGCTATCAAACATGTGCACAGATTTGGATACAGATGTTGTTTGTTCTCAAGCGTCTCTTTTACGAAATTTCCTTCTCGAATGTATTTCTGTAACTACATTACTTCTTTCGACTAAATGCCAACAGGATAGGTAAAATTTCATGGGGAAAAAAAGGCATTTTCTTCATTATTCATCGGGCAGGAGATGCACTAAAATTTACAAATGGTAAAGTTACATAGGCCCAACTAACTGGCAGCGTAGAATGGCAGAAAATATATACCTTTTCATTATTTTTTAATTACGATCAAAAAATAGATGCGGAAATTGAGCGAAGGCTTTAACGATATCAGCCAATTTCATATTTGGCAACTCATCGAAACCTACCACAGAATTTGTGTGGCCTTAAATAGCTAGGCCTGAAAAATCGTTTGGTTTTTACATAAGCAATGAAGAGTTTTGTTTAAGGCTTCAAATATATATTTGTTAGGAGTATTTTTTTTTTTTGGTTGATTAGGCGGTTTCATATGTACAACGATATCGATTAGTAATAGATATGTTTGTTTTGCGCTAAGACATCAATGCGGTGTGGCGTCGACTATTACGAAACATTAGGAGGACGAATAGAATATTCGCAGCTAATCTTGTTTTTATTTTCTACTTTCACGTCCACGTATCATTTTTTTAATAACAAGGCTATGTAAAAAACTTTCGTACAAGAAAATAAACGAATGCCTTTCTGCACCGTTCGGCTCCTATTGCAAACGAGTTCGTTTGGCTAGTCGGACCTAAACGATACAATGGAACACAAGCTTAAAGTAGTTTCCTCTATAAAAATGCATCACACTGCGCGAGTAAGCGCTGACCGACCAATGTCAACCTTCTCATGGCAAACAATAGCGTAAACAGTTTTTATCATGTCGACGGCAGTGGATAGACGCGATATGCGATACGACATGTTGGAGGTGTAGAATCATCGTTAAGACAAAATCCCCTAGGTCGGTGAACGTTTATGTCACCGAAGAATAATGCGAATTATATGCCACAGTATGAGATTGCAAGTGTACCCCCGGGAAAAGTAAAGTTTGCATTTAAGGTAATATCGACTTTCGTGTCGGCTCCTGCAGGCCAACGTCCTCAAAATGCGTTATCGCAAATGATGCCAATAAGTCAAAAGGCCTCTGCTTTTCTGCTAATTCTAGCTTGTAACGAGAGATTTATCTTTTAGATACAGGCTTCCGGCACATGTTTTCATTTGCTCTCGGGTCGTTGAACCTATAGTTTATTTTGCAATATCCAGGAAAGACGGGAACTAACCTCATTGGTGCTTTGAAACTGCATGAATGCTGCTTATGGCAGTCCCTGTCTTTAAAGACTGCGCTAGCCTAACACTGACTATAACAGTGTTCCAGGTCACTAGTTCATCTGTTACCGTGGCCTGAGATCTTAACACACTGTTCTACTTTCTGTCAGTTTACGAAGCAGTTTACCGGAGATCTGCGTTGAAATTAGTTCAAAGAGAGACATATAGCTCTTATTCTGATTGCGTCTGCTGTACATTATCATTAGCTGCGCGGCAAGCGCTAATTGAAATAGCTCTACGACTTGAAATTATACTCGGGATTTACATAGGAATATAGAAGACATAAAACAGCATTACTAAAAACCCAGTAATTTTCGCGTACGCGCTGACAGAGTGCACATTATTAAAACTATAGATATGTATATCCAAGAAGGGTTTTTACGCGCACGTCCCTTGTTCCGTCTTGCCATGATTAATATTAAAGGTCGCTTTTTAAACGATACAAGTGAAAGGCTGTAAGAGAAAAAAAACGAGAAAATGTTCTAATTCTCGAATATTTTACGCTTTTTCCTTGCAGGTAGTGGTTACATACAGCTCAACGTATGTCTTAGTGGCGCTTAGCATTGATCGTTACGATGCCATAACCCACCCTATGAATTTCTCAGGTGGTTGTAAGTATCCTACACAAAAAATATCTACACTACTAAACTGCATGTCATTATATGAGTACGGCTGAGGTAATTTTAGCATTATACGTAACGCCTTACTGTCGCGTGAACTCGAAGTGTTTCGAGCTTCGCCATCTCGACTGCCGTCAACTACTTCATAGAGAAAATTGTGCTGCTTCAATTTGAGCCTAGTCGTGATATGTTTCTTGCCAGAACGTTTTTGGTCGATAGCACGAGTGCGACTATATAATGAAGAAGATCTTCTGTAAACAGGTAGAATCAGGAGATCCTTACTTCATTCATTTTTCGGTTGTCCGTATGGACTACTTCAGCCGTCCAGCAGAGTTTTATGCCATTAGTCTTATTTTTGCCAAGTCTCAAATCAATGAGAATAACGCGACCAGACTGATGCACAGAATGGACTTTGGATAGTATCCTTGTTTAGCAGCTCTAGAGAAAACATGGTCTCGACTGCTCGTACAGCACCTATATGCTCAGTCTCTTCTCCAGTCCTCAACATTCAAACTCGGCCAACCTTAACTATACGGATTAGCTTCAGGAGTCCTTACCCTGTAATTGCAGGTAGCCGTCTCGCTTTCGGTGCTTACCAACGTAGCGCGACTCATAAATCACATTACCACCTTTGCCTGCAATTATAAAACATCGTAACTAGAATCGGAATCACAAGGATCGGCGGTAGTTTATGTTCGAAAGCAAGCCAGTAACTAACCAGCGGATACCTGCAATGACACTCAATGCAACAAAAAAAAGGCGAAATACCCATTTCTTCGCTAATATTTGTTACGAGAAGAAAATATATGAAAGTGTCTTCTCGATTTTCTAGAGTAAGATGCAAAACCCTGAGTATTCGTTCTCCACTCCTACTGCCTGCAACGCTTTTTTTAGTTTTGCGAGGCGGAAGCGATGCTGCAAATCTTTTTGGGATCATCAACGATAACCATTGTCGTCGATTATTTCAAGACATAACCTTCAAACGCTGGTAGTTCTCTCGGGAAGAGGATCAACGTCATTTCGTTGACGTCTTTAGTAACAAAGAACAAAAACGTCAGAGTGACTGTATACGTGAGGCTTTATCCTATTTAGACAGAGAAAGTTTGCCGACATGTTGAATTTGTCAACTAAGTTGCTTATTCTGCTTTTACGTAAAAAACACGAATTTGGCTTAGGAAGCATTGCAACGTTAATACAGATTGTTGGCCTTGAAGATCAGTTTTGTCGGCAGAGCGCTGCTGAGGGCTTTCCGAAATCCACGATCTCAAAGCAGATCTCTGAACAAACTCGACGAAAAACTCGCGCAAGCAAAGAGTCGACCAGTTCCATCTAAACTGTTTGCTATATCCATCCGAATTTTAGAATGAAAGCGGAAAATATTTTTTGCAGTGACCTGATAACTTCGTTTCGTCATAACTCTGAAAGTTGTGTGAAGAGCCTCAGAAACCGGATATAATAGTAGTTTTTTTCAGCTAGATATATATATATATATATATGTGGAATACATTTTTTCTTATTGAGTCAACATGTGAGAACACATGACAGTAAGTAGTTACAAATAGCCATTGCCAAAACTAAGTCTTGTTAGTTATTTAAAGCCCTTTACCTTATGGCACGTTGTGGAACACGCTAATATATCTAATGTTTTGATAATATCTGTTTATATCGAAATGTACGTATCTTATTATTGTTGTCATATTTATTATCTGATCTGTTAACCACTGATATTTTACACGATCAGTGCACGCCAGCTAACATGCGCGGATACAACCCCACAAAAACAGACTAAACCGTTTTATAACGAACAAGATTAACTGCAAGATTGCTTCTAATTTTCTAGCCCTCGAGTTGCTTTTAAGCTTTCATAAATGCCTTTCTTCTAGGACCGAAAAATATATCGTAGTCAAACCAAATCCGGTTCAAATCAGCTGCCTAAATGCAGTAGATACTGTTATAACCCTGTAAAGTCTTTTATTGTAGACTCCGTTCAAATATTTTCAATACCTACAAAAAAAGAAACTTAGTCAGTAGATGTTAGTGACTTCTTTCAAATTTTTGCCTCTACACGCGTGATGTTTGCCCGGTGGCGTTTCCAGCAATCAATCAATCAATCAATCAAATGTTCTAAAGCTGACGGTGAGTTCTTTGTCTAAGTACAGCAGCTGCTTTTGCTATATCAGTAAACGCTGTTAGATGATGTCGAAGCTGGAACATCCAAAAGACGTGTGAAATTGAAGCTCTCGTTAGAAAGCAAGTGTTTTAATGAGGGAAACGGATCATATCGTTGGCTATTTAGCAGATTTATGTCTATCTCATCATTTTGCTGGGAAGCGTGAAGAATAAAGACGGCATAGCAAACGAAAAGGAATAGATTATTGAAGCTTAGGTACAGCTTACCTTATTTTTTGCTTGTTCTCAGCGAAGCTATTATGAGAAATGGACGAATTGTGTAAACTCATATTTAGAATATAATACGACATAGACAACTTAGTAATGTATGCAGTGTTTGCCACTATCGAATAAATATAGTTCAAACTATAACTTGAGCCCCAAATACGGTAATAGAGATATTATGGTTCAAGTCGTTACAATAGACTAAACAATAGAATCAAAGCCTGTTAAGGTATTTTACGAAGAATACATTAGTTTGCATTGAAATCGGCAGGCCGTGCTAATTTTGCCTACCCCTTATACGGGATAAAATTAAAGCGTGTTAAGAAGCACACAGGGTCGGTCATGAAAAGTAGCCCATTTAATCAGCTTCACCTAGCGCGTCTGCTCAAGGCTTTCTCACGTACAGCAGACTCAAGCACCGATATTTGTCAAGGATACGGGCTATAGCATACGAATCAGACCAGCATCGTTCCCATGCAGGATTGCAAAGACAGTGCTTGTAATAAATTCATCTGCAAACGGGCCACTATCATTATTGTTAGATCATTAGTTGAACCTCGTCTGATTTTTCCACATAACGAGAAACTCTATTATAATAATACCGTAATTATTTATTTGTAATTATTGTTGTCGTTTCATTAATTATTAGGTTAATTTTGCACCTCCTAAGTAATGTAGTCCTCTTTTTCCTTTAGCCTTCTCTTCTTCAAACCTAACTGCGGGTTTCGAATCACGAATTTTACGTGGCAGAAAACTTGTCTGTTATAGCTATCCGGATGGTGGTCATAGCTACAATACTGACAGAAGCGATTAAGTGCTATATCTATCCTTCCAGCCGGTATTGAGGGATCAATTCACACAGAATGTTCGTGTCCCAACAGAACTGGGCTTTCCGTATGAGACGAGGTATGCCACTAATGGATGGACAGCTACAGAAAATGCCGTATAATCGACCTGACTTTCAGTTTTCAATGACATCAAAAACCAGCAGGGTATAATATTAGTTTTCCCAGTCGCAGGGTTCGGCGGCCCTTTGAGCGTAAGCGTGAGAGTTCCTATTAGCATCCCGAGGGACCCATTTTCTACCTGCACACCAAACGCTTCAGGATGTTCCGATATTTTCACTTCTCGTGTACGCTGACCTGTTAACCCTTCTGTGAGCAATCTTCATTGCATCTATACGTCCTGCCGACTGGAGTGAACAGATACTAAGACCGAATAGAAGCCAACTGAAAACAAAGATTGGCGTAAAAAGGTCCTAACACTAAACTGCTTTAACGTTACGTGATCAAACATTTGGGGTTTGAATTTGAGATTTTTTATACTATCGTGCACACCTTAGAAAATACAACGACACAAAAATGCGATGCCACGCTTTGTGGCAGAATGATAACATCGTTGCGCATGGTGATCTTCATTGTGTAACGCTTGGAACGTTAAAATAAAGCGAATGCCCAGTGCTTGAAAGAAAGATTTACCCTAGTATATGTGGAAATATTTACTTTCTTGCCTACACTAAAAATGCGTCACAATTCTTGTGGTCCTTAGGAATTGACACACATTATATAGGGGATATCACTGCATTCTGTAGTGCATGTAATAATAGTATAGAGTTGACATGATAGGATTATCGTATCATGCTCGTAGGGATTCGACAAAGCTACCCCCTCGTACGTACCTAAAGTAGCGTTATAAAAGAACATATAAAGGTCTACAAAGAAAGCACAAGAAAAGGTTATTCAAGTACGTATTGGGTTTAAGGGTTAACAATTGACCGAGGAGTCCTCCCATCAAAATGAGTCTGCAGGTAAGTAGAACATTTGCCTTTAAGTCAAGGAAAACCAGCCAGAAATCTGCCCATCGAGTAGCACCTCACTACCATGGCGACAAGCCAATGCATGCCGCTGTACGCTAGAAGATGTGTTTCGCCCTGATATACGGGTATCGCACCCTGCGAAGCAAGTGCAGGGACGCCGTTGCGCCCGTCGTTTAACGGGCCCTTGGGATTGTGTTTGCTGGGTCCCGCATCGGTGCCTACAACAGTATTGCTAAGTGCTTCAGGAGCCCAGTGGACAGATCAAGACAGTTTGAGTATCTTCGTCCCTTGTTAATTGCGTTAATCTTTGACAGGATTAACCATAACATTCCTGAGAACAAAGCTGCTTTAAAAGTTTTCACAGCGGAAAAAAGGAGAATTAACAAAGTCTCGTATTTGTCAATGAATGGACTCCTGTGACGTCTTCGACATCGCTAATTAAGACGATTATGAGGGGTGGTGATCGTTAGGATTGCCGCTGCTGTTTTTAATAAGGCAGCACAGCCATGCCGGAGAGGACGCAACAACAGTGCAAGCAGTTCTAAGTAAATGGAAAGGGCTCTACAATAGCAGAAATAAAAATCCTGCCTGCCGTATTATTAGCAGTCATAAGTATAAACAGACCTGTAATATATATATGTATGTATATACGCAGTATTCTATGCATTGGATAGTTAAACATTATGACGGATTACAGGGCTTTATATCGCCCACGTGCCGATAGATCCTACTAGAATAGAATGCGCATGACACACAAAAGAATATAAGTTCAGTATAAGTTTGGGACGTATATGGCGCTCAAATATGCATTTTGACCTATACTTGGCTATAAATTATATCTGTAGAAGTGTGCTAGTTAATATCTGAATGGCGCGTTGACTTTTTGGCCTCTGTCCTTGTGCCCTTCGAATTCCTGCCGCATCCAAGCTAATGCTAAACGGATGAATATTAGGTGTGCACTGATACACGTATGTAAGTTAGCTGTGATAGGGAAAAACAAAGGGATAAATTTCACGTGAACTTAAGAGTTAACGAACAGGCCAATAGAGACGTTATGCCGTAAATTACTCAATCTCAATCTGACATACATGCATACAGAGTACAGAGAGTGCGCGATGCAGAGTGTTCAGCGAGCTGTTACGAAAAATGGCTTACACTTATATCGAGCTCATTCGTCTATCGTTACTTACTGATAAAACTTTATATCATTCAAAATTAAAGTTAGGAATTGAACTTAAACTCAACGTGGATGATCGATTACCGCTTTCTTATCACAACGTTAAAAGCCTTTCGTATGAAAAAAGCATCTTGACACCAAAACGATTACGCTGTAAGTTTGTTTCAAAGAATCTAACTGAATATGAACGTCGAAGGTTTTTTTTTTAAAAAAGGAAGCTATGCCTAAATTAAGGTAGCCTTTGTTTTGTCCGTACAGCGATAGAAGGCTGAATGTGAGATCGATTGATGCTACAGTTCTTTATCGAACAATTATGCTGTGTAAATATGTAAACTATTTTCATGTAAAGTAATGGAAAGCTTGCATTTAGTAACGAAAGCACAAAATAAAATTAAACCATAATAAATATTAACTATATTTTAATATAACTGAAAATAGAATAGGGTTTAGTTTTCACAGTCACTGGACAAAACGATTCTCAATAGAGTTTATGTGTTTTTCTTCTAGGGAAGCGCGCCCGCTGGCTAGTAACAACGGCCTGGTTTCTAAGCTTTCTTCTTTCAACGCCAGCTTTATTCATCAACCATGAAGCAGTAGTCAAAGAGCGTAAACAATGCTGGATAGATTTATCGGCGGATCATTGGAAGGTAACAAACAAACATTTTGACGTTCTTTCACGTATCCGCCCCTTGGATTTTTGAGACCCATTTTCTATTTCTCCTTTGATCTAGTCATACGATTATTTTTATTATGTAATCTGATGTTTTTTCGAAACATAAGTTTTCTCCAACGATATTCCAGTAAAAAATTTAAGACGTTTATCATGACAGATAAACTAACTTTATTAATAATAATTACAAAAAGTTACTTTCGAAAAAAAGACGTAAGAGCAACAGACGTGCATTTCCGGTACAGCTGCTAACTTTGTTCTAGAAATTGACCTACTCTATGCAGTCACTCGTCTGCAATAATCCCCGACACATTTTAAAGTGGCCTATTTGTACGAAATAAAAATTGCTGATTAGGAAAATCCAACTGGTTCATCCTATGAAGGGCTGTGGATTTTAATAAAAGGCCTCTTCTGGGCCGTGTCAATGATTCATTCGCTGATGATAACCCCGATCTAGGTCTTCTTCTCAGGCTGTTTTGTCTTACTCGCAGCTGTATATGACGCTCGTAGCGGTTTCATTATTCTTCATCCCAACAATCATCATTGCGGCATGCTATTCCATCATTGTGTATACTATCTGGACGAAGTCCAAGGTGCTCTCATATCCTAAGAGTAGCCTCACCAGCAGCAAGGTCTCAAAGTCCAGTCTTTCCGTTGGTAAGTGCTTGCACCTGCATGTATACAGAGTCGTTTTTACCTGTAATTTAAATTCAAAGGTACACAAGCACGGTAAATCATTTTCATTATGCATTCGCAATAAACATAGATACCAGTAAATATCAAATAAACATACTATATACCATATTAGTATGTTTATTTGGTATTTACTTAAGTTATGAGCAGATCTAAATATGAAGTAAGTATCGCTGCATCCATTATGCTCGCTTGGCCAGTTAACGGAACCACTGGATGGATTTTCTCTATATAGGGCTTAACACTCCTAGTCGCTGGAAGATTTCTATCGCTCGTATGCTTTTTTAGGTGGTGTCTCAACAAAGAGTCAAAAAAGCTGCCACTCTTCAGGTGGTACGAACAGCGATACGGAAAGTAAACGTGCATCTTCCCGAGGAATCATTCCGAAAGCGAAGATTAAAACAATCAAAATGACTCTAATTATCGTATTTGGTAAGATCCTCGAGAGAATCATACATACACGCGGGTAGTAGTAATAAAAAAAAAAAAAAACATGAATTGAACGCACCGACTCGTAGTGTATTTGTCTAATAAATGACGTACTCTGACACACGTATGTCGGTCACACCATTTGAAATACGCAGCTGTTTTACACACGGGCTAAAAATCACAACAAACTCATACGCTAACGAATAACAATACGAGCTACTCTATAGGCTTTCGGTATGCTGTCCGATACATACATACATACGGTGCCCCTAGGCAGTGTTGACCAATCGCTCCTTTCAGTTGAAAACTCCGAAGTTCTGGCTTATTTAAAAGAAACTTGCTCTTACAAAATAAAAGTAATTTTTAGCCAGTTGGCTGAAAGTCAGTCCCGTAAACACAACAAACAAATATATACACTTCATAAATTTGTTCGATGTACTTACATGTGTACACTACAAGGTCGTCAGAACGCGCATATTTATAGGAAGAATGCTTCTTTCTTGTCGATTCCGTCTTGGTCAATCACAAAGTCTGTATTCCTATATAGAAACATGTATCTCTTATATTTCGGTCGATGTAGGCAGCTAAAGGGAAGTAAAGGTTATACTGAAGCTGACCGAAGTTAGACACGCATTGTATACATGATATATATATATATTCCACAGTTGTTAGGATAATGACTTTTGAGAATGGCTCGTACTTCAGTGCGATCGATATGATAGCTTCTATCGGTAGTGCATTGTTCACAAGCTATGAAATCTACTGTGAAATTTACTGTGCAGGATTGCCGGAATTAAGCACTGGCCACGTGAGAAACCTGCCTTATAACACACGTTTTGATATACACGCAGAGGGCATAGACTGGGTGGCAAATCGCGTTTTTGCGTGCCTAACCGTAAACATGCGGTCATTGCCAGTTCAAGTCTCAGCGTTGGTAAATGATTTCTATGACATGTGATGAGTATCGCGCCGCTTCATAGGTCTGTTAACGAAAATCCAGCTAATTAAAGCTACAACTTTCAATCTTTGATGCTAAAGCAAAAAAGTGATTTAGATGACCTATTTGCATGGTAAAAATAGCCAAAGGTATCCCAGGTGCGTGCATGTAAGTGAGCGTGTTTACTGTCCAACGTGTTTGACACCTTATTCAATTCACGCCGGAAAGATAGAGGGAAATTTCAATAATCAGCAGTTTCTAAAGCGATCCACCTTTAATATAAAGTTCTGTTATGTTTTAATTGACGTTTACGTGAAAAAAGTTTAAATACGTTATTCGAACTCGTGTAATGACGGATCTTTGATATCAAGGTCGGACAATGCTGTCATCGATTTACTAAAGTTTCTGATTTCTTCGCCAATCACAGTACAGTGAATATATTAGGCCGCTCACAGAACAAAGTCGTGTGCATCAGATATGGAGAGCAAAAAAAGATAGATAGGCTTGATACATGAGGCAAGGTCCATGCTCGGAAAGCTGTCTATTGTCTTAACGGTACAGCGATCGAGTCCTTTTATAGGATTAAATAAATATGACATTTAGAATTCTATCGACTTGGTACCACTGTTAAACATTCGTTTAGACAGCGGACCCTTATCAGCATCAAAATGAAACGTATCGAAATGTCCGGCTTCGACCTTTGACTAGTACAGGGCAGCCATGTTACTGCTGCATTATCGCAGAGTCTCGCTTAACCTAACGGCCAACGAGAGATGCATGGCCTCTCTTTTAACTGATCGTGGCAATAGGCCAGTATTTCTTCCCCAATGCCAATTAGTATTTTTTCACTACGACGCCGCATGCGGCTTTACTTTTTGGAAACACTGAAAGACGATCGCACATTTTAGGCCGGTGTAATGCGGGGAGGGTCCTATAACGTAGAGGATAGCGGCAATAGGTCGAGGTCGCTTTTGCAAGAGTTTCGTACAGTTACCAAGAGCGTTGGCAGAGCTCTGGGAGGACTGTCTCAAAACTCCGGTTTGCATTGAGTTTGAATGTCACGTCTTCGAAAAACGCTTACGTACTTTTTTACGGTCGAGTATTCAAGTGTTTAGGTTTGATCGGTTATTGTGGTAAAACGATGATAGTGCAGTGTTGGTTATCAACAGAAACTTAATTTTCAAACATTTCATTCGCGAATATTTACGTATACGCATACATCAGCGCTAAAATCATTGCAAGAGATGTGTTATGTTGGTTTCAGCCGAAATCATACTGGCAGTTATAAACATTTGTTAATCTAGTTACGCCGTGCACAAACCGGCCCTAGTTAAATTCGTACACTGTCTATTTCAGGAGCGGTTTCAACTCAGGACAGTGCAGGCTTTCCCAATTACCCATTACTAATAATTATCGTTGTCCACTGACAGCGAACAACGGATCAAATGAATTTGAAACGAGTATTGAATATATAGGCTTTTTTTTTTTTTTTTTTTTGGTTAGACTCGAACTAGGCTATTCTTTGGCCTTAAGGGATAGGCAGACAGACGGCGTACTTGTCCTGTCGATAGGCAAGTGGACAATTAGCAACGCCAAGACTCTAGCCAAATCATAGTTTGTCAGATCAGTGACGAATCGCGCCGCTTATTGCAGTAAAGGATACAATTGTCGGCCGTCCGCCAGGATAATGAGTAGATTATTGGACAATAAAAAGGTTTTTTTTTTTTGAAATATTCTTAATAGATCTAACATTGTATTGATTTGTTATAATCTGTTGAACACAGATCGTGCGTCAGACAGAGGACCGAAGATTAGACTTTTTCCGATAAGAACCAAGAGATCATTAGTCGGCAAACATTAACGATGTCATACACTCATGCTACTACAGGTGTAGTTTTGAAACGTTCATTGTAGCAAGATACGACGAACGTAACTGCATCTATCAAATGCTGCCTGATCTCTTCTTTCAAATGAAGTTTAATAACACATTTGTGGAGTTTTTGCTCGTTACTTTGCTTCCTCAGCTGCTTTACGAACAGAGTAAATTGTACATTAATAACAACTCGCCACTTCTGCTCCTGCCTGACCCTGTGCGATTGAACCTCAGTAAAAAATAATAATAATAATCTGAATAAGCCACCTAAGTCTCTATTCGTCACCGAAACTGACGTCGTCTGTCATGTTACTGTTGAAACAGTTGAAATAGTAAATAAGTATGACCCTCGAACGCCAACAGACAAACCAGAAAAAAGAGTAAACATGTACCGGCCCTTGCGTTTTCATTTAGCTCTGTTCCGTTAAATGCCGAAGTATGTCACCGAACCAACTCTGTAACGAAGAAAAGAAGGACTTTCCGATGACTTCTTTTTTTGCCCATCTAGTGGAATGCGTTATTGGGAAACTCGATGCATTTTTCTGACCCGTCGGACAGTCAGCGATCGGTTTAAGCCGTCGAGTACGGACATCACCATATGAAGCTTATAGATTATTTTAGGCGTCTGAGCTCTCCCTGTTTACTGGTCTGATGGACCATGCTTTTCTGAGTATGAAAAACGACTTTAGCAAAATATAGTTTGCAGTTTCTAAGTTACTGCCAATAGACTGCAGGAACTAGATATCTCCCAGAGGATGTTATTGTGCTCTCAATGAGTTAAACTTGTCTTCCGTAAAATTTCCGTAACTACGAACAATGGAGATCGCGGCGCTGACTGCGAAGATTTGTGTCATCAAGCCCATTTTCTTCTCCATAAGGAGGATTGTTTCCAAAATAAAGTTTGACTCAGTTCAGACGTTGTCGCTAGAAAAGTCTAAACTCAACAAGCGCGATATTTACTGTGAAAATCCTATGCAGGCTGGATATGATCTAGCGCGTAGTTTAATTAGCCTCTTGTCTTATAAAATGTTAATTATACGCGGACTGCACCTCCAATCTCAATTCTTCAATAGGGGCCGATGTTATTTCCATAATTGTCCATACTATGAGTATGATAATAGATCCCTAAGGTAAAACATTAGTTTGCCATGTTAATTACTTGACTGAAAGCGTTTCAGTCGAGGTCAGAGGGAAGTACTTAAAATCCACAGGCTGGTGCAAACAGTTAGACGGGTACCAAATTATAAGTTGTAAGGAGTGGCCTAACAAGCAAAGCAGCTGACTTGATAAAGGATCGTTCAGCTATGTCCTTTCAGTAAGATCGCTGTAACCCGGAGTACGTGGCACAGCAGTATCTATGATAGATCCTTAAAAGAGGATATACCTAGAAACGGGATAGACTCGTCTACAAGTCTTGCTAGCGAACAGTAATCTATGCTGATATTTTAGTGTCTTCTCTGTATGGTACGACTTAATAAACGAGACATTTAACGTCCTTTTTAGTGATCTACGTTTCTCTTTTTATGCTTTCTTCGTATCAGTTAGGCTATATGCCCTCCTACATTGATCACTACATAGCCATTTGTTACGCAACGATATTTATCATCACATTAGCAATAGTGCGAATTCGAGTATGGGGCCGTATATGTTTTCACCAGCTCAACGCTGCTCGTTTTTCTTGCTGCTATTTTGACATCGTGCTGCACTCTACTCCACCTCACAATGGTCTCCAATGTCGTCCGATGTAATTTGTTGACGCTATCAGTATTCGTGCTGTGCTGGAGTCCGTACATGATCTACGACCTGCTACAGGTCTATGGCTATGCGGTGATCGAGGACCGGAAAACAGCGACGGCAGTGGCAACATTCATGCAGTCGTTGGCACCACTTAACTCGCTCGCCAATCCAATGATCTACTGCCTTTTCTCTACACACGTCTGCAGGAATATCAGGTAAGAACGACAGCATAGCCAGAACAACAGCTGCTGGCCTGATCAGCAAATAGGCACCGTTAACTATCGAGATGTAACAATCTACATAAAGTGTTAGCGAGGGTAAATCACAGCAGAGCCTAGGCGGGCTTTACCATTCGGCTGAGACGAAATATCCAAATCCGATACATGATCTGTATCATAGCATTTGTAATTAAACGACTATTGGAAGTTCAAGATTTAAACGAACGGTTAAGTCAAAAGGACACTTAACCAAAACGCTACTTGGGCTTTTTTGCATTTGTTTTTTTATCATTCGTCTATCAGTGGTAATATGTATGTTAGAGAAGTCCTTTACATGTCAAATCTGTAATAGATAATATACGATACAGAACACACAGGGTCGACTGATACTGAGATTAGTTCAACTTCACTATCGGTTAACTTGAAATAGAAGCTTGTTGTAGAAATGTCCAAATCCTCTAAAAATTGTGCTAACATTATTACTGTTTAAGATTAACTATCTCACTTCATTTTTGATTCATCTTTTGTGTGATTGATTTGAGCACGAACAAAATCTACTAAATCTAAATTAAAATGAGGCCATACGTTTCCCCTTTTCAAAACGTGCAACCAGATGGTATACGTTTGCACCAGCCTATTCCACCAGTGTTTCATACATGTTCACTGGAGATTAACTAAACGAGACTAATCTTTTTATATAGATGTTTTTTTTTTTTTTTATATATACAAAACGAGCATACACAGCTGGCAGTATAGGCTCTAAAATCAAACTTCAAAACCTTACCAACATGTAAATCGATTGTTTTTGTATCACGGAAGCGATCAGTGCAAACTTGCATGCGTACCCAATGACGAATAAAGAGTGTGTTTATCTAATTCATGATGGCCAACTTGGACAGAAAGATTGAGAATTTTTGTCCGAACGGATTTAGTATACACTTCGGGGAAGAAAACAAACAAGAGTAATCTCATTTGTCCTTCGGTGGATATTGTTCCCTTTATTGGGTAATCAGTTTTACAGTAGAAACACCTACAACAAACGCTAGCACCTGTAGCTGCTTAGTAAATCGTCACAAGACTCCAAAAGAAGGAGTCGCGCTATTGCTTTTTGTTCATTGTTGTTATTATATAAATAAGCAAAAAAGTTTGTCTGCACGAAACTTTTCTTCTGATCATCTAATTATCTAGAGAGCCAAAAAGGTGCGTATCTTTGTGTTGCAAGGTTTCTCCATTGAAAGATTCTAGTTCTTCCGATCCGGTCTAATCGACACAAATACTGCTTACACGATCGGCATCATCGAGCAAAGGGTTTTGCCTTAACGGAAACCCCCCACACCCCCGTTTCCCGCATAAATGTTCTGATTCGATACAGCTTTCTAGATGGTTTGTTACCGTCCTTAACATAACAAGGTAACTGACATGTGTGCACAGTTCTAAGAAAAGCCCATGACACTCGATGTTACGCCTTTTAATCCGTATCGAGGCTCTATAGCAAATCGTAATGTGCTTTTCTGACGGACGTTCTCCTTATTCTGCAACTCGATCTTTCCTTTTCTACTTCATCGTTCAATGAACAAGTTGTACTTAGTTTTCTTGGAATTTTCAATGATATAAGAACATACTCAGATATACACTGGGCGAAATATATTTATATATCTATTACTGTATAACTAGATACCGAAAATAGCCTTACATCTTGCAAAATATGTCGATCTAATTTATCATGGATTGTTCTAGTGACACATACAAACGATGGGCTTTAATTTTTCTATACAAGCGACATATCTTACTCCTACTCTCATCAACTTTTCACTCAATAACTCAAAACATCAATTGTTTTTTTGTCTACCGTTAGTTCTTAATTAGCGATTTCGTTTAGGTTCACGAAACCTCAGATCAGCTTGTGGAAATGAACATTATAGTTACTCGGAGCTTATGGGCGAATTTCGACGCATTAGCTGAATTTCTGCGAGGTTAAGGCACTAGTTTCAGTGAAGACAAGCGCTTATATCGCTGAAGTACAACGATGCACCCTAGACTGGACCGCGTTCCTGCAGCGATTTTCTCTCATCTTACTGCAGTAGCAGGATGTAGTATAGGGGGTCTAACGCGATGGCCGATGTAAATCAGGCTGATGACAGAGAGTTTCTTACGGCCGGATTTCAAGGGGCCCAATACGCACGATGACATGTGTTACGCAAAGATAAAGTCAACCTGAATATATTCGCAGACGTGAGGAAGAAAAAACATCATTGATCACTTGAGGTGCTGAGTGCCAGCCGTATTTGAACCGTGCATAATATCATGAATACACATAATTTTCGCAAACATCAATCAGTTGTCTACTTGTTTGACGTAGACGATTCAAAGAAAGATTGTATAAAGAAAGTTCACGAATAGTTTCGAAGTGCCCCTTTCTAAAATTAGAGATGCAAACGAAAAAAAAAAAGAAAAAAAAAAAAAAACGCAATTCTATTCTAACATCTATAGCCTAACAAACTCATTAAAATCGATTTATTCATTTATATACTATCGCAGACTTACGATAGATGTAAAGCGTTTGCCCGATCCCTACCGTTATTGCCTTTGTTACCGAATGCTGAGAAAAACTGCATTTCGATGGAGTTAGACATAAGACACCGGACCGTCCCAACCCAAGAATACACTTTAAATCTATTGGGTTACTAAGACTCCCTTTTTTACACCCGCTAACGTTACCTGTGTTCTTCTTCCGTGACTGAGCAAGCTATACTTCTGTTAGATGACAGCTGTAACTAAACAAGACGACGATTCCTAATTTTCAGTAATTTTAGCATTGTCTGTCTCAATTCGTTGGTCGGCTAATTTTAATTGAACGTCTATATGAAAATTAACACTTCAATCTAAGTGTTTCCTATGTGTTGTCCGTAGCGTAAATGAAACCATAGACAATTGCAGTGTTTCCTCTGGTATGAAACCCGTAACGTGAAATAGGCAGCAGTCGATCTAGCTAAACTTCGCACTACCCTACTGATTGATATACGGTTCTAGCAGCCAGTGACGATTCATTAAGATCATAACCTTGTGTCGACTATCAATGAAAATATCAACAATCGATAGTTAATGATTAAGTAGGTGCTGGCCTCTAGCTCCTTTTTCTTCTAATCGTACACTTCTCCACGTGTTTCTCTAACAAAAAATTTGTTTGTTTCGTTCTTTTATTTGCACACACTGTGACCTTATTAATCAACAAATCTGCAGGGATCTCATAAGGACCCACTTCATGGTGACTAAATACACCCCTAAACTACCCGAGTACAAGCACTGAATTCTACGCTGTAGTAGTGGCCGCCGCCGCCGCCATCGCAGCAGCAGCAGCAGCAGCAGCAGTAGATTGATAAACTCGATATGGGCGTATGCGTCTGTGTACATACAGTCATGAGTTGACCATGAGCGAATAAAAAATTCCATAGGACCGAATGCTTTTGCGATTGGATATGTTCTTTCGCTCGAACCGCTATTAAACAAGGCCGCTTCGCTGCTATTTGCTTGCTAGAAATAGGTCACCGCCCAACACCTACTTTACAGTACGTCCTAAGTCAAGGAAGGAGGTGAGCATCGACTTCGGCTTTTATTAACTATAGAGTTCACCGATCGCTGACTCGTGAAAGTTCATGTCGTTCAAGTCTCGCTGATCCGCCGCTTTGATCGTTTTCTACCACCCCAATTGTCTTTCTGAAGATGCTTGGTATCCTTTCTACAGCCAAAGACATTGTGTCAACGCGACAAGGCGGCCCGCTGAAAACGCTAGGAGGTGCCTCACAGAACCTTATGCCTTATACTTGTGCCAATCAGCACGAATAGAGTAATTGGGCTTTCGACGTCTTCATTTTCACATAGGCAGCATCGGCCCAATATGTCCTCTTTTCTTACATCTCTGCTGTACGTCCCTATTTTTGCGCCGGCTGGTAGTAAGCGCACCAAAAAATTAATTAGTATTCGTCGAATAGTATATTTCAAATAGATTTCCGCTTTTACCAGATGTCTTTTTCTCGGGCAAAATGTGGTAAACATACACGAAAAACGAACATTGATTGGTACGCGGCACTTTCTATTTTGCGCTAGAAACTGGAGTAGGGCCTGAGAATGATCACACACCTAAGATCAGGATTTACGTGTGAAAAAACGTCCCTGTTTAAGGCTGTTATTTAGCGTCTCGGGCGTTTCTAAAACTGCATGCCAAAAAATAAGCGAAAATCGAATGTAAAAAAATGTATCGTCTCCTATTTAAATTTTCCGAGCGCGTATAAAAACAGAAGAGGCCTATCAGCTTAGTGGTCCATTAGCTAAATTAGTAACCATGAAAAGAGAAGCCGAATGTATTAACGGTTATAGGTAGAATGGTCACGTTCGTGCGCGATGATGTCCACAAGCGAGTTCGAGCCCGTACGGATAAACGTATTTAAGTATATTATATGCCTAGGTCTGTTGGTGTTTCTCTCAAACCCTAGTCGAAGACCACAGATTGGCTTGACATATACGATAGATGTCCGTTTGATTATATACACATATATATATATGTCCCTCCGACAGTGAGTCAGTAACGAGTTGTTTATTTTTTTCACGAGTAGTACTACAAATTGAAAACGAAAACAAACTAAAAAAAGAAACGAAAGCAAAATACGGTCTAATTATGTTCGCGCATGTGAATGTTATGCTAAGCTGTTACAAAATGCTGCTTCTGCTGCGCTGATTCCCACTGTCGTAGTACTATTATCTATGAATTGAGAAGCGTTTTCGGGGGGCGCGATACGCTGTTCCTTGAGGAAACAACGTTGACGCTTGAAATAGTCGCTATTAAATTACTAGTTTTCTTTCTATGTAGTGATGCTTGTTCCGAGCAAACCGTAAGTAGATAACTTTAAATTTGCTAGACGACACGACAGTTCAAGCTGACACATGGACAATCTGCCTGGGATAGATGGCTCTACATGGAGCTAGTTGCGGACCAACCAATGCAGGGGGATGTCGGACAATTTCTACTTCTGCAATAATGATTCTATAATAATGATCTGGAAAATTGAGAACGGCGCTTGGATCGTTCAGACCTGAGGAACAAAACTAATAACCTTAACAAAAAAAAGTTTTCAAATACGAGTAATGATTTAACGAGAAAAAAGCCTATTCGATAATTGATTCCAAAGCTTTGTAGGAATACATCGTGTTACGTCTCAGGCTTTAGATTACTGCGTTTCTGTCTGTATCTCACGCTGTCCCTCACTTAATGCGTACTGTTTTATTCGAAAATCAGCAGTTCGTCAATACAACTCACCGCAAGCGACACCACTTGGCCTATACTCCGCTTCCATATATCCTTTCACATGCCCCATAGAAAAAACTCATCGGTGAGCCATGCTCCTACTTTCTTCTGCATTGGGTTTGTCTGAAAACACGACAACTGCTTTTGATGCGACCGGCATTGGGCATGCAATATGTCGAATGTTTGCCGCCGTCCTCCTTAGTTCACTCAGCGTTGTCCTTAACACAGATATCGTTTTTCTCTATAAACGACCCTGGCACTCGTTTTCTTCATTGTTCACCTGTGTGGCCTGTTCAACGACTTTATACGCGACGCGTATGCGGCCTGATTCTACCTCAACGTCACATTACTACGACGATTCACCAAAACATAGGAATCATCGTTGGTTCGATTGGCTCGCAGGCAAGCTGTGTACGTGCTTCCTTTGCAGCAGCTCAGCGGAAACGAGAAGAGACGCCAACAACACAACGAGCACGATAACGTCTAGTCATCGCCGACTCACTACGTCCAACTATGCGTCCCTATCTACCTCACTCAGGTTAGTCGGAAGTGTTTCATCCCCGTCACGTCGCAGTAAATAACGTGTTTATTTGCTAAACTTACGGATATGTGGTAGTTTCAGTTTGAATATGGCCGTATACAGAGACATCTCGTTTCGAGCCGAAAGCCAGTCGTCTAAGGTAGAGACTAATGGCCCAAGGACAAAACGTGAAACTTTTCTAGTCTCACCATTTTATTCTGCAGATGATTTATCGCTGCCTGTATGCTATGTAGTATATAAAAACTAGCAGGCATCTCGGGAGAACTAGAGCAGAAAAACTAATCCATATTGTGATACAGTGGCTATGCCTTTGCCTGCTAAATTTTAGAAGAACTGGGAGTTCAGGTGCGGGGCTGGAAGTAAACACCAGCTTTTAAATTGAAAATCAATTGTGTCAAATCATATTCAACTAAGGTAGTAGCACGCGACGCAAAACCTAAATCAATTACACTACAAGAAGGGCTAGATTATAATTGTAATTAAGAACGTGTAAGGGGATGGATGTAACGGTAAGAAAAGTTCAGCTCAACGGACTTTTACGCCATGGGAAGGTTTCGTCATCTGCTACCCAGTCGCTATATGCTTCATTGGAGCTGAGTCTGTTCGATATTTACCTATATGTGGACCTCTGCCAACCTCTATACATGTTCATGAACAATTGAAAAGGAAAGCTCCCGAATCTAAAAGCTGTATGATCCTGTCAGAGTATCAAGTTATGCACTAGCTGGATGGTGAACTATGTTATGCATTGCCTGCACAAAAGTACCCGAATCATCCGATTCACGTAAGCCATATTTAATGCGATAATCTAACTTGCTAAGGGCCTTACGATACTGGATCTGTTATAGGCAGGCTTGGCGAGCGTATGCGACACCAGAGACCCGTTATATTTAAAAATAATAGAGCTTCTTTATGGAAAACCCGCAAGTTATTAAGCATACAGATTTGCGACTTTTTAAAGGTATATCGGAGCTCGGCTGAGAAGTCGACCAGTTTCTAATTTTGATTTGTGGCTGATTTTCAATCTTTTTCTCTGTAAATTGAATTACCCAGGATATAAACTGCAGAACCGCTATGAAGGTCATCGAGGAAAGGACCCAGGGCATAACTAAATTTACATTAGTCCACCATCGAAAACCGCGAAGAACAGGCTTATATTGCGCAGTGTCAGCCCCAATGTAAAGCACTGTATTTCCTTTCATCGGTTATTGGCTATCCGATGGGTCTTGCTGAACGTCTCTGGCTTTTTTCTTTACCAGACCAACGAAACAATATGTCATGACAACTATTATTGACGTTGAAACTCGGAACAGCGGTGCTCGTATATTTTGTGATTTATGCACTGAAAGAGATGCACATTAGCTATCCAGACCCGCCTTCTCTCCTGAAACTAGCAAGGTGCCAGCTGTTGAGTCTCCTTGTGACGCCTATTTGTCATTTCATATTGACCGCCTAGAAGTTTGCAGCTATCAGCCATAAAATGTCCATATTTCCATATAGCCATAAATCCCATTTAGGGAATTTATCTTATTACGAGTCTAATTAATTTTTTTACCCAGCTTCTAACGATACATTCATACGAAACTAGTGTTTTTCATTGTAAATAAGGTGTACGGTCATAGGATGGCACGTAAAGTTAAGAGATCTCAATAGAAAATGTCGTGCATCAAGATCACGAGGAGAACTTGAAATTTTGACAGTTTCCTTAAGGTATATTCATCTCTGTTGGCTTACTGTTCTCCATTAACAAGCAATGACTAACAAGCAGAAGTGCTTTGAACAGAAAGTGAGTTTCTCTTAAATCTATTTCTCAGAAACCTTCTCAAGCAAGAATTCTAGTTACAGGAAACAACTGCATACAAAAGTGGCTTTTAACTGGATAGTGGGCAGTAAATAGAATCAAACCTGATATTGATACGTGTACGCAGGCAGCACGACAGAAGGGGGAGTTTAGCTCCCTACAGCCTAAATAACTTTTGGATAGATTTTGAAATATTAAATACTGATCAATTAAACTCAGTTTGTTTAATGATTGTGTTTACTTATAATTTTTTTCAAGGAAGTGAACTTGTTTGTGTGGGGCCGTATATGACTCGCGAACCAAATAGACCATAGTCAACTCTGAACATCCCAGTTTAAGTAACCTCTTAAATCCTAAATTCAATCTTGGGCATAATCAAGGACGATAGAGCAGATGTGTGTGTATATCTGTTTGTTTGATAATCGAGGACACGGCAGAACGAAGAAGAGAGTAAAAAGGGAAAAGATGAAAAATCAGTTATCTAAAACGTTGACAATTCCACTCTTTCCGCTGGCACTCAATATTATCGCTATTTGAAAGTTTGTGAAAATCATTAAATCAAGTGCCATGTTCCTTTGATTTTCCCATGGCAACTACAGATGATAACAATAGTGAATCTCTTTCCTGGTTATAACTATTGCTACTGCTTGATATCGGCTATTTCTACCGATATAAGACACGTAAGCAAGTTCAAGGGTCAACAATGCGATGAGTTCCAATCGTCTTTTTATTCTTCTAAGAAGTAATGGACCCACAGCGCAGGCCTACATAACATAAAAATTTGGTCATGTTCTTTATATCTAATAACTTTCGCATACAAAACGAAAACTGCATTTACCTGTAGAGCACTTCCTTATCTGACTGGCCTGACCGGATAGCCTTTCCGTCTCTCTCGTAGATGCTACATCTCTTTCACTGCTCAAGCATCTGTTTTCTTGTACTGGCATTTGTATTGTTTATTATCGCTCATGGCATGGCAATACGATATTTGCTAAGCAGCGCACTTTGCTCCTCATTTACCCAATTTCGTAACCACTACCAGCATCCCAGCCATTGGTACATGCAAGGGGAGTACTCTTAGCGAGGCAACTGGCTATCCAGCCAAACTTGGGATGATAGATGCCTGATCTTAGCCCGTCCGATAACAACCCTCGGAAGCGCTTTATCCTCCATTCGCTGTACTGATTTGGCCTACCTCAGTCTGTGCTGTTCTATGGCCCTGGCGTCGTTCGTGGTGACCTTGTTCTTGAAAATGTGAAGCGGCGGCGCCAGAGCATACGGCAATTGCATGTCGTGCTTTATCCTTTTCGCTTCCGCCGTTGGTAGTCGCTCTCGTCGTCAACATCTAACATTATGATTTGAGAAGCCCCGGCGCCTCGTTCAGTGTAAGACAAGTAGGCCAAACGATCGTCTGGAACGACACGTGTGTGATAGGTGTGAGCGTGCACGTCATGACTAAGTGGCTTTTGTTTGCGATCTATCTATAAGGCTGCTGATAGCAGCAATCAATAAACATGTGGCCTCAAGCTAGCTCCGACAGTACCACAGCCCTTCCACTAATCTCCCGATTCTGCCTCTTCCCTTTGTACAATATACTTGAAGACTGCCAAGACAATAAACAATATAACGAATTGTCAGCACCCAAAAGCGACCGCGTGATTTGTTTGTAACAGCGGTTCTTAACGTATAAACAACGGATTTTAATGAAACGGAGCCAGTGCTGGTTGTTGTAAAGTTGAAGTTAATATATATCATGCTAACCGGGATGTATCAGTGAAGTTATGGCAGAGATATGCAGCATTAACTTCTCACTCTCTGATAATTATGCTTATGAAATATGCAGCTCAAAGCGTTTGTATGAACTGCACAATTTGATAATACTAACTAAAGAATGCAGTGACCGTAAGTGTGACAGATGTTCAACTGAGTCGAGTTTTTAACAGTTTCTAACACTAAAGATCATTGATATTCGCTTTAGGCGTAAGAATTTCCGCCTCTCAATTTGCACTCGGCAGACCCTACAAGGATATAAGCTTCTCTGGAAATTGTGTATATATTACAGATTAATATTCTTGGTTATCTTTTGTATACCTGTTTGTTAGGCCTATAAGGAGGGACAATACGTTAGGACAATACGATATGTGAGGCAGTCTAACTAACGAAGCATCTTATGACCTTGTTGTGCACAGTACATATGATAATCCCTGTTTCTATCTTCATTTAAAAAGCCACAAAAGAAACAATTCCAAGCTCAAAGCATGGAAACGTTGTTGGAATATTTAGCTCGTTGAAAAAAATCAACTTATCCCCATAACGCCGAACAAACTCGTCGACAGTTTTTTTTCGCTAGGGGTAACCACACAGAACGCACTCAGCCGTTTCTCTATACCCGGGCATTTATCGCTTTACCGTTGTTTTCCAACTCCGAAGTGAACATGCAACCATATGAAATGTGGATTGCAGTAGAGCCCCATTTTGATGTTTTTATTGTGAGATAATTGCATCCTCCTTGGATCCTATATAATGGATTGTATATTAATCGTAATGTACTGTATTTCCCGTTCACCTCAGGTTGTTGTGCAAGCAACAGTTCATTGTTACAGCGTCGATCTCTCACCTATAGAGAAAGCTTGATGCTGATGAGCATCTGGTATCGCTCCGTTGACGTGACGCCTCGATAATCACGATACGAACATGTCTGGATAATCCCAGCGTGGAGATTTCCTACGCTCGTCTTATCCGAAACTAGTATCACAGGGTGCGGAATGTATTTCCACAGTACGGCTGCTGATAACAGGACGGACCAGGACAACTAGTGGACCAACAAGCCCATCGACGGCCACAACATGTTGAGGAATCATGGCATTCGGTAATGGCTGCTTTTCTCTGTCTCGAAATAGAAACAGTTTTTCTGTGGTACTATGGCGATGAAGATGCAACTTGAACGCTATTGGGGCTAGGATCGGGATGGGCATCCTCGATAACAGAATGATGATGCTTTGACGAACGCGGCCTTTTTGAGATAGTACAGGGATATCAGGGGAAATAAAAAGCAGAAGCGTCCCTCGACTGCCTTACTATATTCTGCCGCATTTGATTAATACCGAATAAGGAACAAACGATGGTCACGTTCACTCGATGCAAAGCTGGCCTATGTGCTACCGCTGCCATTGTTGTGTATTGCAAAGCGGGGAAC